ACTTTTTTTGATTGCCCAATCATAACAACCGTGGGACACCTCCCTCCCTGTGTGCGTGTGCGTGTGCGTGTGCGTGTACGTGTGTGGAGAACTTAGAAACTGACTGCTGCCCTTTATTTATGCAAAACCACCTCCGAATCCAGTTAGCCCTGTGTTGTCCAGCTTCTCCCTTGGGAAAAAAGTCTATTTCTCTTTCTTCCCAGTTCCCCTCACCTTTCTACCTTCCTGTTCCTTGTCCTCACTCCCTCAGGACCTTACCCTATTTGAAAAGACAAAGCTCTGCCTACATAGAAAACTTCTTTTATTTTAACCAAAGTTACTGTTGTTTACAGTAAGTTTTGGGGGGGAAAATAAAATAAAAATAGCTTTCCCGGTCCTTGCATCAACGGGATGCCACATTTCATAACTGTTTTAATGGTAAAAAATATATATACAAAAAAAAAAAACCCTCTGAAGGACAAAACAGTGACTGCTGAACTGTGTGTGGTTTATTGTTGTACATTCACAATCTTGCAGAAGCCGAGAAGTTTGAAGTTGTGGACAGACCCTGTTCACTGGAGAGGCCTGGGCAGCAGAGTGTAGACCCCTTCATGTACTGTACTGTACACCTGATACTGTAAACATCCTGTAATAATAATGTCTCACATGGAAACAAGAAAAAACCTCTGGGTCAGCAGCAAGCTGTAGTTTTTAAAAATGTTTTTAGTTAAACATTCAGGAGGGCCAAGGCCAGTGTGGCTCAGTGGATAGAGCGTCGGCCTGCGGACTGAAGGGTCCCAGGTTCGATTCTGGTCAAGGACATGTACCTTGGTTGTGGGCACATCCCCAGTGGGAGTGTGCAAGAGGCAGCTGGTCGATGATTCTCTCTCATCGATGTTTCTAATTCTCTATCCCTCTCTCTTCCTCTCTGTAAAAAAATCAATAAAATATGTTTTAAAAATAAATAAATAAATAAATAAATAAATAAATAAATGTTCAGGAGGGGGAAAAAAGGCTTTCCCCCCCAAAGTATCATGTTTGAATCTACAACACCCTGACCTCTTTCTCTCCTCCTTGATTGTATGAATAACCCTGACATCACCTCTTAGAACTGGTTTTAACCTTTAGCTGCAGCCACTGTCCTGCCATGTGTGTATATATATGACGTTTTACATTGCACATATCCTTGAGTCCCCACAGTTTGGTCCCCCTCCCAGCTACCCCTGACGAGTTAACAAGTTGGTGACCTGCACAAAGAGAGACACAGCTATTTAATCTCTTGCCAGACATCGCCCCTCTTGGCGATGTAAAAAGTCCTTGCTGTCTCAGCAGCCAATCAACTTACAGTTTATTTTTTCCTGGGTTTTTGTTTTGTTTTGTTTTGTTTTCTTTCTAATCGAGGTGTGAAAAAGTTTTAGGTTCAGTTGAAGTTCCTGATGAAGAAACACAATTGAGATTTTTTGTGATAAAATCTGCATATTTGTATTTCAAACCATGTAGCTAAAACTTGATGTAAATTCCTCCTTTTTTCCTTTTCTGGATTAATGAATATCATTTATTCAGTATGAAATCTTTATACTATATGTTCCATGTGTTAAGAATAAATGTACATTAAATGTTGGTAAAAATAATAAAATAAAATAAAATAAAATAAAATAGCCTTGCCCCTGTGAAAAAATAAAAATAAATTAGCCTGTTCTATTTGGTCAAGCATTTAATTAATTCACCCTTTAATGCCTTGTCGGACCAAATGATTTTTCAGGCCTTATAAGGCTAGCAGACAGACATTCCCCACCCCTGCACCATGGGATAGAGGTGATGGCCAGGAGACCCGAGGCCTGGCCCCAGTTCTGAGGGGTGAGCCCAGCTCCGGTTCTGAAGGGTGAGCTGTGTAAGCTCAGAGCACTCTCTGTGGCCTGATCAGCTCACTCCGCAGCCCAGGATACACATGGTGATGGTGGCATCTCTCAGTGTAGGCCAACTCTGAGCTGAGCCCGGGAACCCAGCCTGAGAGAAAAGCATCCTTTCCCAGGCCAACTGGGTGCCCGGGGCTGTGGGAACAGAGTGTACTGGGAAATGGGTTGTGGGTTGTGGTGGGACCCAGGCTGTCCCTCTGTTTCCCCAGAGAGAGGAGGGCTCCTGGGGGGACTTTCCCAACAGGCTGTGGGCATGACTTGAATCATGGTGTCCCGTTGGGTTTGGTGGGCATACGTTGGAGTCAGATTGCTGCCACTTCCTGCCCCTGATCTATAAGGTGGAAAGGCTGGGGTGCTTTTCCCACCATTTCCTGCAAAGTTGGCAGCGAGAGAGAGAGAGAGAGAGAGAGAGAGAGAGAGAGAGGGCACCAGGGTGTCACCCAGGTCACAGAAACTGCAGTAACTAGTGTACAATCCTAGGCTTGGGGCTTGAAGCAAGGAGTTAAAATTCCTGCACTCTCAGAGCTGAATGGAAGGAAGGACTTGCATACGTGGTGCTCATACCTCTTTAGTTAATCAGTGCAATGTGGTTTGACCAGCTAAGGGCAGGGAGGCACCTCCCAGGGGCAGGTATAACTGGTGCTGGCAGCTCCTGCAGGCTGGAGCCTTGGCTTTCTCTTCTTCTGGAGGTTCATTGAAAGGAGTTTAGAGACAGAAGAAGCAGTTTTAAGAAAAGGGGGGTCCATGGAAGAGGAATCCATACATGATGGGCAGAGATAGCACCAAGCTGCCATATTGTTTACAAGAATGTTACAAGATAAGGGCAGAAGTAGAGGGGGGCACCAGGTGAGCTTTGAAACTGATCCCATGCAGGGAAAAGAAGGAAAGTGGCCAATTCGGAAAGCATGGGGGACATAAAATGAAGAAGGATCCAATAGAAAGTAACATACACAAGACAAAGATGTGGCCAGCATTTATAAACCCATAGACAAAGAGATTCACTAGACTACGTTTTTTCCCCCATTTTAGAGAGGGGAGGGAGGGGGATCTCCCATTTTGGGGTGCCCCTCCTCAGGGGAAGTTTGTATACACTTACAATAAGCTTCTAACTTTTGCTTTAAATCTTTTAGTCCGCGAATTTTATTCTTCAAAACTTCATAGAATGGGAGTCTGAGCTTGCTATTCAGGGTATCAACATGATCTGGAACAGAAAAGTTGCTTTCCATCCTCCTGCCTTCTAATTGTCTACTATTTGCAGAACTTTAGAGAAAGCCAAGTGTAAAGGAGTGTGGGAAGTGCAGTGTTTTAGGCTTCTAAACTTAGCATCTCAGAGAAGAGCATGACAAATGAACTTGAGGCCTGGAGACAGTAGGTAAATCATCAACACACATTTGTGCCTGAAGTAACCTTACCAGACTCGATTTTGTTCTTTAAAGTCAGGCTGCAGCTGGTTTAGAGTTCCACATCAACCATGTGGGCTGGTAGTTGGTAGAATTCAATAGGTTGCTGCATTTTTTAAGAGGCATGAAAACATGAGGAATAAGCTGGCCTCAGTGACTGTGATATTTTTCTGCCCGCTGGGTGCTTTAGGCAACCCCCAGAGTGGAAATGCAAACCAATCAGTACAAAATATCCTATCTAATAAAGAGGGAATATGCTAATTGACTGTCACATTCTTACAAATATGGAGGCACCCACAGCCAATAAGGAGGGAATATGCTAATTGACTGTCACACCCTCAAAGATGACGGTGCCCACAACCACAAGATGATGGTGCCCAGTCCCCTCAGCCTGCCAGGGCGGCAGGCACGTGGCACAGCCAGGCCCACCCCCAGTAAGGTCCGGCCGCTCTGCATGCCTGCCTCCGGAGTTCCCTAGGCCCCTCAGCTCTAGCCACCCAGGGCTGACCCAATGTGCAGGCAAGCCTCAAATGTCAGCTTCCCAGCCTCCCAGTGCCACCCAAGGCTCAGGTAACCAGGGCCGGCTGAGGCTTGTGCTACCAGCAGTGGCAGCAGCAGAGGTGTGATGGGGGCATCACCTCCCCCATGATTGCTGGGTTGCCTCCCACCCCTGAGGGCTCCCAGGCTGTGAGAGGGGGCAGGCCTCTAGTGTGTGTGTGTGTATATATATGATGTGTGTGTGTGTGTGTGTGTGTATGTGTGTGTGTGTGTGTGTGAGAGAGAGAGAGAGAGAGAAAATGGGGCCTCTCAGCCCTGCTGCTCATTCTCTGTGGGACCTTGGGGAGGTAACGTTCTATCTTTGGGCCTCAATTTCTTCACCTGAAATGTATGAAGGTTGGCCTAACTCAGTGACTCATTTCCCTAGAAATGGGATGCATGTTAGGATTACTCGGGAACCTTTTATCCATATCATGTGCTAGAGCCCCACTCTGGAGCTTCCTGTTCTGGGTTTAGGGCATTTGGAGTGCATTGAAAAGCCTCCCCAGGTAGTCCCATCCCACCACTTCACTCCATTCGAAGTCCCCAGCCTGGGTGCGCTGGGACCCTCTGCGGTTCGGCATGATGACTCTGGGTCTTCACATGTGGGCAGACCCCTGCCCCCTGGTGGAACTGGCCTTAGGGTCAGGCCTGTGATGCTGAGGGAGCCTTCAGGAAGTCACCTTCCCTTACTGGTGAGGGTCCGGGGAACAGACAGAGCCTAATAGGGCTGATCCCAGCCCCTGAGGCATTGAGCTCCCAGCTACCCCAGGAGTCATGGGCCACAAGCAAAATGCTTCCAGCTGAAACTGAGAAAACACCAGGAAGTCAGGAGCTCAGAGAAGCCCGGTGGCAGGACAGGAGTTTGGATTCCGAATGTTTGTGATTCTTGAGCTGTTTGACCCTGAATCAAAACAATACACCTTGTGAAGGCAGGGGGAGAGGGGGTGGAAAGCATATTTTTATGCTCCATTATTGAAGTACTCTCACCTGTTACCTCTCCTGGACTCTGTCAAAACTAAATGTGACTTCATTTGCTATCTTGCACAAGTCTTCAGTCCAAGTCACAAATCTGGTCCCAACCCTACTCTGAATAAATAATTGTTTATAGTGTTTCGTTGCCAGGAAAGGGCAGAACAAAAACCTGCTAAGAGAGTGTCTTAGTCCTGGTCCAGAGCCCTCTAGCTGGGGACATCCTTGGATGAAAAGATTGGGATCAGAGAAGCCACAAGCAGGCCACTTCCTCTCACTCACTCTTCTCCGCTTCTCAGAGGCAGCTCCTACTCACTTTTTTCAAGATCCCTATCTGCTCGGGCAGCGGGGAAGTCTCTTCCCTCACTGGGGTGGGGAGGGGTGTGGTCAACATGGCCACTGTACCCACCTCTTCCCCAGGTGACTTCCCCACCTGGGAGGTCCCATTTTGCTCTATAAAAGCCCGGCCACTGCAGGATGGGCCACGGGGAGCACTTGCTTCACCAACTCGTGAGACTACTCCAGAGAGACCCAAGCCAGCCCACGATGAAGCTCACCACCACAGCCCTGGTGTGCCTGCTGCTGACGGGGACGTGCCTGCAGGATGGGAACAGCTTGAGCCGTGAGTCCCTTAGCTTCTCCTTGGGGAGGGCAGCAGTGTGGGCAGGCACCCTCCGCTCTCTGCCTCCGGCTTCCCTGCTCCAGCAAGAATTCTCCTGGAAGAGGAGGAATGGGTGGGGCACAGGGCCCGAAGGAGAACCAGGAATCCGGGCAACCACAGGCAGCTGAGCCACTGGCTCCTGCAAAAGGAGACCCGGCCTCCTCCAGACCCTGCAGACAGATGGAGGGGGCCGTGAGGTTATCAGCTGGAGGCCTGAGGTCCAGAGGGGCGCTGGGTCTTGCCTCCACAATGTAACAGATAAAGGGGAGGTCAGGACTGGGGCTGTAAGAGTTGGCTAGCCTTCGGCAAGTCTTCGCTTTACTTCTCAAACTGATTTCTCCATCGTTAGCACCGGACTGAGAATGTCTAACATCCAGGGCTGTTTAGAAAATGATAAATACACCAAAGGGGCTCTGTACACAGGAAGACCAGGAGGAAGGAGCCAGGAGGGTGGGGTGTGGGGGATGTAGAAACAGGCAAGGTCAGGTGGGGGCTCAGGACAGAGCTGAGGACAGGGGAGCAGGGCATTCTGAGAGCCAGCAGGGGAGCTGACTTCCCTTGTCCCTCTCGGTTTGAGCTCCTTGAATGGTGTCTAATCCAGCCCCATATTCTTGGACCATATTGTCCTGCATGGGCCAGACTCACCAGGCCCCCAGAGCATGAGATCCAGAGCCCTGGAACTGCAATATCGGGGCAGGACCTCACACGAGTGGTGGGATGTCAGAAGTGGTTTATTTTACAGATGGGAGGTCTGGGGGCCCAAGTGATCTTGCTCAAGGTCACCCGCTGGTTTGTTGGGGAGCTAAGATCTGAACCCCAGTGTCCTGACTCTGCCTAAACACATAACTAGGTGGCTGCCCCAGGGCCCTCCCAAAGCCTGAGCCTGTCCTCACCCAAGGATTTATTATTATTATTATTATTATTATTATTACTATTATTTTTTTTTAGAGAGAGAGAGTGGAAGGGAGAGGCAAAGACAGAGAAATATCAATGTGAGAGAAACAAATTGAATGGTTGCACTTTGACAGGGATTGAACCAGTGACCCTTCAGTCTGCAGGCTGGTGCTTTATCCACAGACTAAAAACGGATAGGGTGGTTTTTGTTGTTGAGAGAAAAGAAAGCCAGGTTGATGAGATATGAACATTTTTGTGTTTCTCTTCCAGTGCAAGTGTCGTCTTCCAGTTGTTGCTTCACACCTGTGAAGAGAGCGATTTCCCTGAAGGGGATCCAGTGTTACCAAAACTCCAGTTCCTCCTGCTCCCACCAGGATCGTATAATGTGAGTGCCATTCCCTGTTCCCTTCCTGACCGCCTCCTCCAGAGAACAGAAACGGCTACTGGAATTACCGTAGATTAGCGGACGCTAGATGGCGATGTCCCTCCAGGTTAAGGTTTCTAAGCCCTGAGAGCAAGGCCTCTAAAACCTGGGTGCAGAGCTGGGTGTGGGTGCCAGAGGGTGCTCCCCGCGTCCTCGCCTGCACCGGTGTGTTCCTGCAGTGACTGCTTTCTTGGAGCTCCGAGCCAAGCATTCTATCCTAACACAGAAGGTTATGCCCAGAGGAAGGAACTGCTTACACGCTCCCGGTATTACTGCTCAGTAAGAAGAGTGAGGGGGTCGAGGTTAGTTCCTGACTCCAGATTTGCCAACCTCTAGTCTTAGGGGACCTTGGGCAGGTGCCTCTCTGCCCTGCATTCTCCAGGTGCTCCTTTGCACTCCTACCTGTGAGGTGGAGTACACACCATAGCTGCATCCAGGGCCGTTATCACCTCGGGGCTCTACAAGGCACTTGTGGGTATATTGTCTTGGTTAATCATCTTGGGGTCACATATTTTCATTGCCATGAAAACTGAGATTGAGGGAGGTAGCGAGAATTGTCTGAGGATCACCCAGATAATAAAAGGCAGAACTGGTCTGTTAGGACCATGGCCAAGCTTAGGAGATGGGCAGATCAGAAACGCGCGCGCACCCACCCACACACACACACACACATACACACACACACACACCCTTAGAATGACTGAACGTTTCTAAAGTACTTAGACCTGGGGAAGGGTGGAGCAGAGAAACCCTCTAAGCGTCCCAGGAGGGGAATTTTCCATGCTAGCTAATCCTCAGGATGTTGACATCAAAGGCCGTTTCTAAACACCCCTGAAGCATGGGTGCGCCCTGGTGAGCCCGCCCCAGGTCTAACGCTGTGAAGGCATGTTACAGAGACAGCAGCGTAGGGGCACCCAGCGGTAAGGAGGGGCAACGGGACTCATGTGCGGTGCCTGGCCGGTGACTCAGTGCCCTTTTGGTTCTCTGCCCACAGATTCAAGATGAAAAGAGGCAGGAAGAGCTGTGCCTTGAAGACAGACAAATGGGTTACCGCTAACTTATGGAAGATAAAACCTTGCTCACCGACACAAGTGTGATCCAGTTTCCTTCTACCCTGGACTCCCGTGGCTTCACCTGCCCCCACCCCCCACCCAAACCCCTCCACCCTCCACCTGTTCTGGGCCAACGCTGCTGGGCCACTGAGGGTCTGGTGGGTGGTAGCGCTTTACATATTTAAATTATAGAACCCTCTATTTCTGCTTCCCTGTGCCTCTCTGACCCCACAGGGACCTCAGGTTGCAAACGTGATCAGCACTGAGGGTCTGGGGCCAGCGGCTGGAGGGTGCGGGAGCAGGGGAGACATGTTGAACCTGGTGCCAAGGGAACTGACTTCTTGTCAATAAGAGTCAATAAATCAGGGGTGGGGAGCATCTGGGCTGTGGGCCTTATAAGCCCCTGAAATCATTGGATCTGGCCATGTCAAAGCATTAGGGGTGAATTAAATGTTTGACCAAATATAGCAAGCTAATTTGTTGATAATCTTGTATGGCCGAAAGTGATATTACAAATATCCAAATGGCCCTTGGCAGAAAAAAAAATCTCCTTCTCCTTCCGTACCTTCACCTTTCTCCTCCCTGCCCTGCAATAAATAATTGCCTCCTTCCTGATGACTGTCTTTGTCCTGGGTGTAGGCGCTGACTCAAGCTGAGATGTAACTTCTCTGTTTCCAGGTTGGTGGTGGGAAAGGCACCGTGCAGCAGCAAGTGGGGCCCAGGGCTGCTTCCACATTGGGGTGCAGGGCATCCTCCCTCCCTGAGTCACCTGACCCCACCAACCCCCCCAGAGTTCAGGGGCTGATGCTATCCAGAAGGCACAGCTGCTCAGGCTGGAGGGGGTGTTGTGAGATCACCTCCCTGTAAGGTGTCGCCAGCCCCATTTACAGATGAGGAGGCTGAGGGCTGGAGAGGGACATGGACAGGCTGGAGGATACATGGCAAGTCAGGGTTAGATGTGGACACAAAACTCTTTGTCCCAAGATGTCAAGTGACTGCCTGACAGACCCTGCTGTGTGGGTTTTGGAAAGCCACTTAAAATCTAACTTGGGCCCAAACCGGTTTGGCTCAATGGATAGAGCGTCGGCTTGGGGACTGAAGGGTCCCGGGTTGGATTCCAGTCAAGGGCATGTACCTTGGTTGCGGGCATATCCCCAGTAGGGGGTGTGCAAGAGGCAGCTGATCGATGACTCTCTCTCATCGATGCTTCTAACTCTCTCTCTCCCTTTCTCTCTGTACAAAATCAATAAAATATATATATATAAAAAAATCTAACTTGGACAGACAGTATAAGCAAACAATGCGACTAAGGGTATCAATCCTATCACAGAAATCCATCTCAGTCTGGCATTGCCCTTCCCACCCAGAACAGGTAATCCAATTCCAGCCAGCAGCTATCTTTAAACAATGTGTTCATTTACATTTGAATGGCTATGCCTGTTGATAGCACAAGGGCAAGTTTACATGTAAACAAGTTTGCTTCTCAGTTCCCAGGGCAGAAAAAACAAGTTTAAAATTATTAGATTTTAAAATTTATTCTTAAAAATATAAAAGTTTATTAATTTAAAAAAAACAAGGAAATTAAAAAACCTGATGAACAATATTAACTGTTGATTATAATAGAATCAGAGATACGGGAGGGGAGTGGACTGACAATTCTGGGGAAAAGGGGAGTGGTGGAGGTGGGAAGAGACTGAACATAAACTGTGCACCTATGGATGAGGACAATGGGGGGTGGGGAAAGGGCAGAGGGTGGGGTGGGAACCTGGTGGAGGGGAGAAAAAATGAGGAACTTTTGTAATAATATGAACAATAAAGACTGATTTAAAAAAAAAAAAGGAAAGAAAGAAAGGCACACAAAAAAAAAAAGGCAAGGAGGAAGCATGAGAAAAAACAAAGGCACGGGGAGGAAAGCAGCTGGCTTCTCAGGGAACTTCCACAGAGCTCACTGTGTAAAGCATATGGCTACCTAACCACTGTGCTGTACACCTAAAACTGATACAAAATGGCACAGTGTAAACGGCAATTGAAAAATAAAGTTAAAAAGAGTGTATAAACCCTTGAGGACCACTCGTCTTCCTAAGGATGATGGCTTTAATGTTGGGATGTTCCATCTCTCTGAAATTCAATTTACTTCCCTGCAAAAAGGGAAAAGAACAATGAGACTCTCCTGATACACATATATCAGCACAAGTATGGCACCAAGGGCTCAGAAATGCTGTCCCAACCCCACACCTCTGACCCCAGCCCCCACTTCCTCCAGATAAGAATAGCAGGACAGCCAAAACCGGTTTGGCTCAGTGGACAGAGCCTCAGCCTGCGGACTGAAAGGCTTATCTATCCTCACCAGAAACACACACACCCAGGAACGCAAGAGACATCCTTTAATGAAGATGGATGGGAATGAAAGGAGAGATGAGTGGGATCACCAGACTTCAACTTGCCAACTCATCACTCCAATAAACCTGTTTAGCCTGTGTGGCTCTGGATGGCAAAATAGCCCCTCAAAGCTCAAGGCAGTCACACCCGCCCCCCCACCCCCACCCCGAAGATATGAGCTACATTCATGGTAACTTTGCAACTGCCAACAGAGAATTGTGTAAATGTGTTCATGGCTGTGGCTCTCACCTCTTTGAAGCTGAGCACTGGTTACCAAGAAAAGTATGAACCTGACTCAAATTCCCAACTTCCCCAGAGAGAAAACAACCACTAAAGGCAAGACATGGGATTGGCAGTATGTCTGTAGAACAGCATGTTTATCTATCCAGGAGATTGAACTGGGGATTCTTGGCTCTGCTCCTAGGAGAATATAAAAGTGACCCAACTCTGCTTCCATCAATTTCTCTAGAATAACTTCCTATAAGTCTTCCAGCCTCTGAAAACCATATTCAGAATAAGCACATCCAAGGCTTGGTGTCGGTTTCTGAAACAATGGTTTGGCAGAAGCTAAAGACAACGTGGTTAAAATCTACAAACACCATTCCTTCAGTTACTTCATAATCCAATGCTGCCCTCTAGCAAATGGAGAGAGAACACTAACAAGCCAACGAGTCAGGCATCTGAAATGCTCATAATTAACTTAAAAAATGTTACAAGAGAACAGGTCTCCACAATTGCACAGCAATAGCCCGTCTAAAGAGAAAATTTCCTTTTAAAAGGCTGCTGGGATATCGTAACACAATCAGCACCAACTGGGCTACCTAGAGCGAACACACTGAAGATACCTGCCCCCGACCCGTCTGTTTGAAGTTATGTAGGATTTATTACTTTCCTGAACAGTCTTTTATGTCCCTGGAAAAACTTCCTCTCCTGACTTTTCCATGTGTTAGAAGATGGACTGAAAGCTCTTAGACCTGATACTTCTCACATGCAATAGTTCATGGTATCATGTCAGTTTTTCCTAAGAAATGTAGGGACTAGCCTAAAGCAAAGTTATATTACAATTAAAGAATTATGGAATCAATTGCCAACCTTGGAACTCAAAGGAAACATTTAAGTCATGGTAAGGAATATTTGCAGGGTGTGGCTAATAATTGGTAGGACAAGTGAACAGGTTTAGTCACAACCACTTGAAGTACTAAGTCCAGAAAAGGCTTTTCATTCCCATAATCTCTTTTCCAGGACCACTTGGAAGTTCAAAATTCATTCTATGAGATCTCATCGCTCTCATGTCAAGCTGATCGATCAGAGCCTGAAACATGGAGAGATCTATGCTGGGAAAAGAGGACCTATTAATAAGGGCTCAGCGTGAAATATGAGAACATTTGCCTTTGTGACTTTGGGCTGCAGACAGGTGTTTCCAATCGCTCAGGTTTCATCTTAAAAGAAATGCATCCAAGTTAGTGCGTCTGTGTGTAGGTGGGTAGGGAAGAACCATATATATTTTTTAAAAAAATCTTTATTGTTGAAAGTAATACATAAGTCCCATTTTCTCCCCTCATTAGCCCTTTCTAGTCCACCCGTTCTCCCACATAATTTATTTTCAAAAAAAAAAAAAAAAGTTGCCATGTATTTATTATATATTTCTATTAACAAGTATGTACAGCTGGCTCAAAAAAAAAATCATTATCCGTACATTATCCCATATTCTGCAAAGTTTCTCAGATCTATCAGGATGGGCTTCTCTTGTGACTCAACTTAATCTGAGGAAAGAAAAGAAATCACACACCTGATTTATAACTGCTGGTCAACAACAAACATGTAAAAAACAAACAACATGTACTGACAATGTAATTTTCAGGACAAGATGGTTGGAGTGCTTCCCCCGACCCCACGCTAATGTTTTGCTCAATATTATTTTACCTTCAAAAATTCTTTTCCTCTATTTAAATCTGTATGCACTCCCAGTCTCTCCCCAACATGTACGAATCTCAAATCAGTCAATTGTAATGAACAGGCCCACTGCAAAGCTCAGCCTCGTGTCTACCATGTCTCATTTCAAAGGTCAAACCCTGGGAGAAGCAGCATGTCCTACTGTTTTAAATTTAGGGCAGCAAAACTAATGACCAGACATGAACTAGGTCTATGACAACACACTATTAACAAGCTACAGGGCAAGCACTTATAATCTCTCAAGAAACATATAGCATAAGATAAGAGGATTTGAAGCTCAGGGAAGCTTTAATTCTATCTGAAGATACTTCTCTCTCACTGCTCAGTCTATTCTCCTTTGTGGATTAAATGTTTAGTAATTACATTAGAGAGCTGACCTCCAAAGAAAAAAGCCAGACTGTTGTTGAAATTCCCAAGGATGAGCTCAGTGAACCAAGATCATGGTTCAATTACCAGTCAAATCACATACCTGGGATTTGGGCTCAATCCCGTGTGGGGCATGCAGAAGGCAGCTGATCAATGATGCTCATCATGTATGAGAACCTTCCTCTCCCTCTCCCTCTTTCTGAAATTTATTGATTTAAAGAAAAAGAAATTCCAAGGAAGATTCACATCCAACCAGGCTCTTCCTGATCTACCTTCCATCCAACTCCCCTAAAAGAATATACACCGAGTGGCCAGATTATTATGATCTCTGAACGCATATCAATCTGGCCACTCAGTGTATATCCTTTTTAAAAAATGTATATATATATTTTATTGTTTTTGTTTTACATAGAGGAAGAGAGAGATAGAGTTAGAAACATCGATGAGAGAGAAACATTGATCAGCTACCTCCTGCACGCCCTCTTCTGGTGATGTGCCCACAACCAAGGTACATGCCCTTGACCGGAATCGATCCTGGGATCCTTCAGTCCACAGGCTGACACTCCATCCACTGAGCCAAACCGGTTTCAGCTCAGTGTATAAACTATATAATAAAAGGCTAATATGCAAATTGTCCCCGACCAGGAATTCAACCAGCAGGCAGGCTGGCCAACCATTCATGCAAGAATTCATGCACAGGGTCTCTAATACACACACACACACACACACACACACACACACACACAGTGGCCATATTATTATGTGTTCAGAGAACATAATAATCTGGCCACTCAGTGTACAGTAACACAGGGGCAAAGAAACAAAGACAGCTAATGTGGTCCCTCTGCCACTGATATCAATGGGTGTATCCTTAAAACCTGAAGAAGCAATT